TCGGTAGCACTGTGAGTCTCAAATAAATTCGGTGCTGGTCTGACCAGTGCCGGATCGCACCACTAGCCGCGTTCCGTGATGAAAACGCAGCGAAAAAATCATCGATCCTTGTTCTCCCATCTGGGCAAGCATCTTTAACATACAAGAAGATTGCATTTCACAGTTTATCCGATAAACTGGCTACCTTCGCAGACTGCTTCCAAGAAAGAAGGAACCCGAGGGCCGATCAAATCGCTATTTCCTCAAGTATTTAAGATCAGGAAGTACTGGCGAACTTCAAAGAACCTGCAAGGCGAACAGAAGAAAGGAGATGATATCGTGGCGTACGGAAATGTTATGGCGTGCAAGGAACACGCGAGGAAGGTGTAAATGACCATGGCAAGAGCAAATGCAGACAGCCGAAGGAAAACTGCGATACTATAGCGTTTTGCATCGACGGGGAACGACGATACTCCTTTTTTCACGGTTCAACGCGTGTGCCGACGCAATTTTACTTTCCCTGCGAGAACGAAATTCAAGGAGACGACGTTTCCGTGTGATCGAGGGAAATTTTGGTGACGTGGGTGATGTACCGTGAAAATATTGATATCATGTGTCGATGGGTACAGGTATGTGTCGACACCCATCTATATGGGAGTAATATCGATATACCTATATAATATCGATGTATTGTATTAGAAGAAAAGTTATTTTCTATATTTCAAGTTGCTGAATTTTCTAGTTTTCTAATTTTTCAATTCTTCCATTTTTCGATTTTTCAATTTTTCAGTTCTTCAATTCATGGTTTCTTTAATTCATCAATCCTTCAATCCTTGAATTCTTCAATTTTATAATATGTCAATTCTTCAGTTCTTCGTTTCTTCCATTTTTCAATTCTTCAATTCATGGTTTCCTTAATTCATCAATCCTTCAATCCTTGAATTCTTCAATTTTATAATATTTCAATTCTTCAGTTCTTCGTTTCTTCAATTTTTCAATTTTTCAATTCTTCAATTCTTCAATTCATGGTTTCCTTAATTCATCAATCCTTCAATCCTGGAATTCTTCAATTTTATAATATGTCAATTCTTCAGTTCTTCGTTTCTTCCATTCTTCAATTTTTCAATTTTTCAATTTTTCAATTCATGGTTTCCTTAATTCATCAATCCTTCAATCCTTGAATTCTTTAATTTTATAATATTTCAATTCTTCAGTTCTTCCATTTTTCCATTTTTCCATTTTTCAATTTTTCAATTTTTCAATTCTTCAATTCTTCAATTCTTCGTTTCCTTAATTCATCAATCCTTCAATCCTGGAATTCTTTAATTTTATAATATTTCAATTCTTCAGTTCTTCCATTTTTCCATTTTTCCATTTTTCAATTTTTCAATTTTTCAATTCTTCAATTCTTCAATTCTTCAATTCTTCAATTCTTCAATCTTCCAATTTTCTAATTTGTAATTTATAATTTCCAATATCCAATTTCTTAACAAACTTGTTACGCATGGAAAACATCAGGCCAGTAAATTATTCGTGCAAAACATCAAAATTGGATTTAACACTGGAACTACCAACCAGTCAAAATGACTGGTTTTAGATTTCTCATTTTATATTACAAAATTTTATTGTCATGCTTCTATGAAATCCTGAGTTTATGGAAATGTCCATCATATTTTGTTGAGGTAAAAACTAGTTCTGTATGTTACTTGATGCTTTAGTATTTATTTATTTCCCTTTTCATTTTATTTTTCATACTTCAATAAACGAGCACTTAATGTCGGTAGTTCTAGTGTTAAAAAAAAATACAAAAAATCTACGTCGATGAATCGATATTGTATCGACCATCCCTACCTCGTAGCGTAAACGGTATTCCCAATTGACATTCGACGCATAGACATATTAGGGAAATGAATCACTTGGTTGTACGCCTTATCAACATCGACGCCGTGCGGGGAATATAACCGACTCCTTTTTACAGTTCGTTTGATTATCCTACGATCGTGAATCTATTATGATGGAATACAATGCCAGCGTACTAGACGCATCGCGTTAACGTACAATGTCGGAATATGTACGTTGTCTTGGGTAATGTTCATAGAAAAATTCGCGCGAGAGACTCATTTCAACGAAGCATGCCTGCCACTGCTTTACGGAACTGGCTTTCGACATTTTGTCACGTAATTAATGTTCATTTAGTTTGTATCTTTTGATGGACGACGCCGACAGACAGAGTACGGCGTATTTAGAATAGCGAAGTATGTGAAAAATTAGTGACTTTATTGGATTTGTAATGGGGTATATAATGGAGAGGAATAATCTGTTCGGTGAGGTATTTATGGAGGAATTTTGACAATTTTTATTAAATCTACAGAGAAGTCGAATTCTAATATTCTTACATTTCTAAATTTTTAAAATTTCAAATTCACAAATTCTCAAATTTTTAAACTATTATTACTTACGATTACTTATACGTCTAAATAACAATAAGACTACATTACCCTATAATAATTATTCTACAAACTTTAATATCGTTCATTACACAATTATAAAAGTGCAACCTGAATCGCACAACCAAAAATTAAGCTTGAATATGAATTGACGGAGTATTACAATTTTAATAATTTTTATTTATGTCGAAGTAACTGCTCGCACGCGTGAAAGTATGTACCGAGGTTACAATTGTCTTCTACTATAATTTCAATATCGATCGCATTCAAATGCAGCAGAGGTCTATCGAAGCAGCTGAAACCGTTTACAGGAGCGTTGTTCGATGCTTCAGAGTCGCGGAATAATTCGCTACTGTTCGAGTCCCGTTGTTACCGGACTATCGGAGTCTCACTCTCCATTGTCTTCGGTGAACCTTCGAAAAAAATTCGCATTGATGTCTTCATCGAAACGACCTCGAACTTAGTTGTTTCATTCGTCTGCTAATTATACAATTTACGGACGATTCGCTTGATGATTGATTAAACACGTCAATTTAACTAGTGATTTATGAACGTTTAATGACCACTCATTTTGAAAGTACATTGTAAAAATAAACACGTAGTGTTAGATAATACGTGAGCTTGTTTGTAGAATAATTATTTATCTTCGTGAAGGTTTATGTACTGTTTGATAGAAACTTATTAATAATTTCTGTAATTTAACCTTTTGTACTCGAAGGTACTTTTGCTGACAGGTAGCAATTTTAAACCTAAGGTGAAGTGGGGTGAGTGCAGACTGGTTTTTGTGAAGTTGGTATTTAAACGTAAGTATTTTCAGTCTGCTATGTAAATACTTAACGCTGTCGATATCGAACGCTTTGCACAATTACTACTATTTAATTAATATTAACTAGGACCTTAATTTTCCTGGTACATTTTGATTTTGATAGGAAATTGTTTAAAATGTCAACTACTCTGCACTTTCCCCGAAAATGGGGTAAGAGTGTAACTTGAAGTTAAATACTTTGAAACTTTATTTCATGTGCAATGGAACAAGAGCAGAATTATTAACAAATCTGCTATAAAATGCTTTTTACTGCATTATGCAAGTACTCTATACTGCAAACAAGTACTCTTAGCTGAAATATAAAAGGGGATATAGTGAAACAAAACAAGAAAACAAACATACTAAATGGAGAAATTTCGCTCATATTGTAATAAAAATAGATTGTATACGCACTTGCTCCGTTTACGAACTTACTCCACTTCACCTTAACTAGAAAAATTCGATAAATTCTTTTGAAGTTGTTATTTTATTACTGGGCGCCATATTGTCTGCTACACTGTGTTTATACATTACACGTAAAACTATAGACACAGCTGAAAAATTTTCATTTCAAATTATTGTGTAAAGCCAAGTGGTGGATGTGAGTTTGAAGAGCAAAGGGTTAAACTAATTGTAAGAAATCTAAGACTCTGACGGGTTTCGTGAATCTAGATTATGAATTCATTGTAGTTGACTGCCATAGTGAAAGGTGACATTTGTGGTCAGACATACTTTAATATAGCGCTTCATAAACTTCCTTTATTCATGACTTTTTATCGCCGTATACTTCGCGACTCCAGATTTAATAATATACTAAAATGTCGATGCTAAATCTACCTAGGTGCACTCTTACCTTGAAATTGAAAAATGAATAAAGAAGCGATAAATAAAAAATTAATAAATACGTTAATATTTAACCTTGATAAAAATCAACATAGACTTCAAGAAAACTACTTTAACCTCTTCAGACTTTTGGCCATATATGTGAACGGTTACGTCCTATATAAAGATATACCCATTTCCGAAAGGGTTACAAAAATAAGTACGCAATATTTTCTGAACTTGCTGACCAGAAAATAGGTGTTTATAAATTTCAATTGATGTAAGTTAAATAAAAGTGTCTTTATCTCTGAAAAGATAGTTCAAGCAGCGACGCCGTTTTTCTTTTTACGCGAAGTAAGTCTTAATTTTACCGAAGCATTACGGCTGTTAGGGAGTAAAAGTAACTGTTACGACTAGAAATTTATTTGCGACATTATCTAGTGGTATTTACTGAGCTTTTCGAAGAAATTATTTTGGGTTTCCTCTAAACAGTAAATGTCAATTTTTTTTATTTGCAGTTACTTTTCGAAGAATTGTGAACTTCGTTTGAGAATATGGAGATTTGTGGATTCAGAGATTTGGGAATTTGGGAGTTTAGGGATTTGGGTATTTGAGGATTTGGGGATTTAGGGATTTGGTGATTTGGGAATTTAGAGGTTTGGAGATTTGGGGATTTTGTTATTTGCAAAGTTAGAAATTCGGTAGTTTGAGAATACAGAGAGTTGAGGATTTGATAATTCCGTTTGTGAAATTAAAGATTTAGGGATTTGGGAAATTGTGGATTCGGTAATTTAGACTTTGAAAGTTCAGACTTTCAAAAAGCCTTATAAAGCTTGGATAACTCAATCTTTCTATCAAAATCAGAATTCAATACTCAATGAAAAAATATATAAACCACAAATGGTTAAAGCAGAAATCTTCTAAATTCCCATCTCGCAGCTTTCAAAATGAAAGGCGATTATCTTCAAACCGCAAGTTCCCTTTTCAACTCTCTAATGCCAAGCAATCCTCCACAGTCCCGAAGTGTACATCCGATAAGAGTAAAAAACATCGAATATTCCGTGCATGTGATGAAATTTTTCCATCCACTTTCCTAACAAGACCAAAGTAGCTGATTGCGGGGAATACCAGTCGTCCAGTATCTCTAGCACTAAGTACACGGTTGCGTACCACGGTGCAATCGTCCGTGCCGTTGGCGTTTCTAACAAATTAACGGGCGATATGTTGTCGGTGGTCTGCTCCAACCTTCTGGCTCCACCTCCCGGCC